CGCCGCCTCCGCAGCAGCAGCAGCAGCAGCAGCAGCTGTCGGGGCTGGCCGTGGGAGCCCTCGGCTCGCTTCTCTCGCTGCATGCGCAGTACCACTGCGACGTTTGCGGCAAAGACATCAGCGGGGCCTTCCGGATAAAGTGCGCGGAATGCTTCGACTTCGACTTGTGTCTCTCCTGCTTCTGCAGCGGCCGGAGCAGCAGCAGCAGCAGCAGCAGCGGCAAGCAGCAGCAGCACGAAAATTCCCACGCCTACATCCCCGTCGGCCGCAACACTTTCCCCCTCTTCAGCCTCGACTGGACTGCCGAAGAAGAGTTGCTGCTCATCGAGGGCGTCGGCAAATACGGATTCGGAAACTGGGCAGTCCGCTGCTGCTGCTGCTGCTGCTGCTGCTGTTCGTTTTGCTGCTGTTGCCTTTGCTACTTCGCTTCGGCGTTTCTGTCCCGCTCTATCTTGCCCTTCTGCTGCTGCTGGAGCTGTCCAGCTAGCTAGCTAGCTAGCTGTCTGCCTGTCTAACTAGCTAGCTAGCTTGCCAGTTATACAGCTAGCTAGCTGTCCAGCTAGCTAGTTAGCTAGCCAGCCATCCACTTAGCGGGTAGCTAGCTAGCTAGCTAGCCAGCTAACCAGTTATTTAGCCGGCTAGCTAGCGGTTTACTTAGCTGGCCAGCTAGCCAGTTATTTAGCTAGCTAGCCAGCTAGCTAAGTAGCTGGCCAGGCAGCTAGTTATTCAGCTAGCTGGCTAGCTATCTACCTAGCTGGCTAGATAGCTATATAGCTAGCTAGCCGGCTAGCCTGTTTTTTAGCTATCTATCTATTCATCCAGCTAGCCAGCCATTTAGCTAGCTAGCCAGCCAGCTAGCTAGCTAGCTAGCTAGCTGGCCAGCTAGCTGTTGTGTGTTGTGTGGGCTGCAGGAGGTGGCGGAGTTGATATCTCAGGTGTCTCTGGAGCCGAAGACAGCAGAGAGTTGCGAAAAACATTATTTTAATTTTTATTTAAATTCTGCTGCTGCTCCTTTGCCAGACTTGTCGCAGCTAATTAAAAGCAAGGAAGGCAAGGCCTTGTCTGCTGCAGAGGCCCTCGAGCGCCAGCACAGGGCCCGCAGCAGCAGCAGCAGTAGCAGCAGCAGCAGCAGCAACCTCCCCGACGCAGAAGCAGGTCGTGCGCCTTTCCCTTCTTTTCCCTTTTATTCGTTTGTTTTAATTTAATTAAATTGATTATTAATTAATTTATTTTTATTTATTATTTTATTATTTATTTATTTATTTGTTTATTTGTGTATTTATTTATTTTAGTTAAAGTGTTGTATTTAATTGCTTCTTCTCTTCGCTGCTACGCGCTTGGCTCTGCTGCCCCTGCGCTTTACTGTTCAGTTAATTTATTTTTTAAATTTATTTATTCATTAAATTTGTTTATTTATTAAACTTTTTTATCTGTTAAATTAATTCATTTGGTCAGTTAATTCAATTAATCCATTTATTTGTATTTTGTTTGTTTTATTTACTTTTAAAGTGCCAGTTGCTTCTAACTCAATGGGCGGGCTTCGCTGATGCTGCTGCTGTTGCTTCGCTAACCCATGCTGCTGCCGCTGCTGCTGCTGCTGCTGCTGCACTGTTCGTTTGCTGTTTCTGCTTTCCTCTTTGCCCGTGCCTTCGCTCGCTGCGGCCGCTGCTGCGCCCACGTGCCGCCTTCTTGCTGCTGCTGCCGCTGCTGCTACTGCTGCACAGAGTGTGCTGCTGGGGCTGCGACTCCTGCTGCGTTGCCGCGGCCAGCAGCAAAACCCTCGCACTCCATTGTGGGCTATTGGCCACTGCGCGGCGACTTCGACGTCGAGTTCGACAACGACGCCGAACTCATCCTCGCAGACATGGAGTTCAAAGGTCACGTAAAACGCAGCAGCTAGCTAGCTAGCTAGCTACAGCTAGCTAGCTAGCTACAGCTAGCTACAGCTAGCTAACTACAGTTAGCTGCGGTTAGCTAGCTGCTGCTAGCTAGCTAACTAGCTCCAGCTAGCTAGCTCCAGCTAGCTGCAGCTAGCTAGCTGCAGCTAGCTAGCTGCAGCTAGCTAGCTGCTGCTGGCTCGCTGCTGCTGGCTAGCTGCAGCTAGCTAGCTGTTGCTGGCTAGCCGCAGCTAGATGGCTGCAGCCAGATAACTGCAGCTAGCTGTAGCTAGCTAGCTGGAGCTAGTTAGCTAGTCAGCAGCAGCTAACTAGCCAGCAGCAGCTTGCTAGCCAGCAGCAGCTAGTCGGCAGCAGCTAGACAGCAGCAGCTAGCCAATCTCAGCTAGCCAAAACTAGCTAGCCAAGCCCAACTAGCCATCCCCAGCTAGCCAAGTCCAGCTAGCGAGCAGCAGC